CCCCACCACTCCCCTGACACCCCCCCCCCGGCAGCCAGCGCTGCGTCACTGGCCCCCTTGCAGCTCTGCAAGGCCCTTTCCTGGCTGGGGCCTCATGCGGAGCAAACAGCGTGGGGCTGAGCTGAGGGCAGGGGCTGCTTTCTGTCCCTGTGACACCCCCGAGTGCTGGGCTGAGCTGAGGGCAGCCAGTCCGGCTGGGCTGAGCCATTCCTGGGTGGCTCCTGCCATCCTGGCACCATCCGACAGCCACGGCACCATGTGGGGCAAAGTCCTGCCTGTGGCGCCCGCTCCGTGAGGCCGTGCTGCATGGGCAGGGGAGCAGCTGCCTTATCTCGCTCCCCTCTGCCCTGCTCCAGCATGGAGTCACGCACCCACAGCACCGGTCAGCACAACCCTGCCGGGCCATATCCAGCCCTCGCTGAGCCCCACGCTGCCATATCTGTGCCCCCACGATGGCCCAGCCCAGAGCACTTCCATGCCAGCCGCGAGGGTGGCTCAGCACAGCCAAGGATTGCTGGGGACAAGAAGGGGAGATGTATCAGCGGTGGGAGAGACCGTATTAAACCCTGCATCTCCTCCAAGGCACAGCCCGGGCATCCCACAGGCGCTGGCCAACCTCCCCTCCTCCAACATCCCCTCAGCTCTCCTGCCTTGGGGCTTTACCCACCCACCACCAAGATTTGGGCCTGCAGGCAGCATGTGCAGGGCAAATCCTGCCCCCGCAGCTGTGCCAGGCCCCCATGGCACCGGCAGGCAGAAGGGAGGTTGCACTGGGTCAGATCAGCGTGGAGGAAAGCTGGCAAATGATTCCTCCCCTCTCCTTAAATCCCAGGGCAGCCCAAGAGCATTTCCAGCTCTGCTGGCTTCCCACAACAGCCTTGACATTCTCCACAGGCCACTCACACTGCACTTAAACCACCCCAGTGGCTCTCATTTGGGTGGCTTCCATATTATTTATGTTTCCTTCCGTTCCTGACCAAGAGTCAGGCCTGGAGCAAACAGCCAAGCTGCGGCCGTCCCCACTCCTGCCAGGGCCTCGCTGCGGGGACCCGTGCTTGAACCTTTGCTCCTGTCCGTGCTCTGAGTGCCACCAGCCCAACACGTCCCCAGCCCCAACGGGCAGCACCAGGAGCCTGTCCTGCTCCGACTGTGTCCGAGGCACGGGAAAATACTGTCCTGCGTTTCAGCAGTTAAATCACAGCTTAAAACAAACACGTGCCTCATCCTGTCTTTAAATCCGTCTGCTCTGCTCCACCCCCCCCCCCCCAGCCTCTCCTCTCCATCCAAAGGCTCCTGAGGAACCTTCCTTTCCCCCCAACAACCAGTTGGCGACATTCTTCCCCCCCCGGATTTTTCTTTTTTTTTTTTCCCCCCTTTTTTTTTTCCTTAGGAAAGAAGCCCGAGGCTGGCGGGACACACGCGGCTCCCACATGCGGCCTCGCTCCCTTCCTTCTCCCCCTTCCCCTTGCCGGGAGGCAGC